AATGTTTGTAGAATAGCTTTCAATTGATCTCTTACTTCCGCATCTTCATCAATCTTAGTTTGTAGATCTTCAAAGATCTTTGGGTCAACCATTCCATTGAGATCCGACATTTTACTTGAAGGTTATTGGAGGGGGTGATGTGGTGGGGGTGTTTACTTTGTAGATTTGCCTTGGAGATTGAACTTCGAAGAATAAATTTCACGTCACACAAGCAAAATATTTTACCATCAATACGAATAGTACATTTCACAACGCGTCATGGCATCAATATCGCGCACGCAGTTTTGAATGCAAACGCATGGAAATAAAAAGGTTCAAAATATTATTTATCATGAATTGGTGATAGCATTAGATTTTACATGCAACTACAGCTACAAGACACAACACGCACGTTTCCAAAACAGCATTTACATCCACATCAATGACGAACAGCGCGTACCTAACTATTTCATCACCACCACACTCGATGAATAGCATCTCATTCAAGAGTTGAAACCACTTCCAAGAACGCAACTGAAGACCAAATCGCCAAGACTCTTCTTCACAACCCAGGCAAGCCCAAGTTTGTAATGAAAAGAAAGTGTTCGCTTCACCTGGAGGCAGTGTAATACCAGGGAAACTGTGGGAATGATCATGCGCGAGCACAGCGGACCAATCCCGAAAGACAAAAATAAGTATAATCAATGTGACCGTCTATGACGATCTTTCAGAGATTAAACTGAAAAGAACAGATACTACACTTGATCTAAGCCTGTAGAGAGAAAGTCTTGTTAGCAAAAGACTCGTAAAGATGAAGGCAAGAGTAAAAAGTAGGGTGTAACTTACCAATAGGCAAAGAGAGCTAAGGAAAAAAAAAATAGGAATCGGGGAGGGAGAAGATGCTTATATAGATATTGGGTAGTGGCCTGTGCGCGCTGAGGAAGAGGCCAGTTGGTGCAAACATGTTTGACGAAGAAACAAACATGACAAACAGCTTTGACCGCTCGTTCTGCCGTATGTATGGAGTATAAGCTGACCAGAAGGAATTCTTTCTGTTAACAACCTCTGGTCAACCTCTCCATTCGAAATGATCCACTTCATATTTTGTGCAATAAGGGAGTTGCACTGTACGGAGTACTTAATGTATATACCTACTAGGTAGGTAGCAAATGGGCTTTGTGCTCAAGAAAATCATGTTCGACTGAACTGCTCAAGAGGAACTGTACAATTTTATTCGTTCTACTCAATTTACTCCTCACGCCTACTAGTAGTCCAGCTACAAAGCCGAAAATCACGATGAAGCTGAAGCTCGCAATACCTATTTGGATGCAGAGAACTTCGAATGCGCATCCCCAGTTAGATGATAGATGAGGTTCACGTTATTAGGATTAATGGAGTCCACATCTACAACAGCCTTTGCATGCAGACTTTGTATACTCCTCAAATAAGTTACATATAAATTTCGATTTCAATGTCATGTGTACCAGATTGATTTGCTTCCGTAAAGTTGCTCGCCGGGAGGCTGCCCAGTGTAATATCATTGGTGTAAAGTATGGGTAATATTTCTTGGATTTGCAGATACCATAATAAAAATAAGAATTAACCTCCGCCTCAATTGCTCGTTGCGAGAAGCGTTCAGATACCCACGGATCAATTGTACCTCTTACCTCCATCAGTTACAACAAGTGCTGCCCAGGTGTTCCTCATCCTTTTCAAAATGATATCATTCGCATACCTCCTCACATTCACCAACGAAGCGTCTCCACTCCCCCGCTTCTCCGCTATACGGCCAGGATTTTCTGGAAGAGGTACATTGAGATTGGCGCCGTTAATCTATCTCTCTATTGGCTTCTTCTACTTCACGAATTCTGCTTTTCACCTTCCACGTTCTCCCACTCCAAATTTGCTCTCCTTCTATCGACCCGGCCCATTGGATTCAGACCCATCTCGATGTTGAGTTCACGTATCTCTCAACCGGACTCGGAAACTGCGTTATTTGAAACGCTAAGCGTGGTAATGAAGGTTGGCATCAAAGATTGCTGGTCACCTTGCCTTCTCCTACTTTCGAGAATTATCATGTCCTAATGTTCATTTCCAATAGCAGCCTGGTCAAAGGAAGAGTCGATCATACTTAGGTACATAAAGCCCAGACTAACAAACCGGGTGAATTTTCCAGCAACACGAACCACTTCAATATCCAGAATGTATTTGGTATTTCGTTCGATCTGGACATTCGAATTGGATTCAAGAATTGAAAATTCTTGATTGTCAGACTGCAGCCTGGACCTTGCTTACACAATCGCTGCAGTTGTTCTTTCATCTCCCTCTATATTATTAGAAGTAGACGTTGTTGGAGTTGATTTTAGAATCTCTGTCTTTTCATTTCATATCATCGTATGACAAGCCATGGCAACATGCTTTCTGAACTTCCCATGCTTTCGTTCCATATTTCGGTCTCTTTCTTTCTCGCTCTTCAACTCGTTCTCAATTTTACTTATTATATCCCTTGCTTTTATAGGTTAACTTTGTTCGAGTGTTTCAAAAGTCTCTGTCAAATTAGTTTTTAGTATGATGCCAGACGTAGTAGTCATTCAAGAAATTGCGTTTTCACTACTAATAACTAAGTCAACTGAAAATCATTCTTTTCGTCTTTAATTGCCTTGACTGTTATATTTTAGAGTTTGTTTAGCTCGAAATGTACATGATTAATACATTAGTAGAAAAAAATTATATGTTCAATTCCTTGCATTTTATAAGTTAATAGTATGAACTATTGAATAAATCTCAGGATATAAATCATTAATATAAAATCTGTCAGTGTAAATGATGAGTTTTGGTTTGGAAAGACGTTTGAGTTGATAAGCGTTTTTGAACAACCTAAGCGGAAACTAGGGTTCGATTAACTGTAAAGTAGAATTCTATGAAGAATTGAGAAGAATCCTAAGGATCCTTGACCTCAAATACTATGCACTAACGTGGCATTTGACATCATATGACCTGAGAGGCCTCGCTCTTTGACATGTCTTCCTTCTTGTTATCTCTATCCTAACAATGATGATTAAAAGGTTATGAAATATTGTATGCTATTTTATCATCAACTCGAAAAGAAAACCAGGTAGACGACGAGTGACTATCTTCGATGCCTCACTGCACCATTCCTATATCTGCGGTATATCCCATAGTTCTGTAAAATAGTTGTACATTGCACCTACATATGATTCCTCCTGGGGTTGTCTGAGAGGCCTCGCTTGCTAATGCGTTTCGGCTGATAGCAGGTTAATCGAGCAGAGATATGTGACGTAGCACCTACGATATAGGTTCTGAGTGTCAATATGGTATTCTGTCTAGAGAGCTAGTCTATGTGTAGGATTATGCCATCCTGGTTTAGCGCTCTCGCTTAGTCTACTAAATCCATGACTGAAGGTTATCTATCTATATACAGATAGCAGTTGACTAGTTCCGTATGTTGACTTCACTAAAACAAATAAGATAGGAATGTTGAGTTACTCTCTAGCTCAACATCTACTTTCAATATATGGCAGAACTAAAGCTCCAACTCTGAATCAATAGTTGATTTCGAAATAGCATCATATCGAGATTTGAAGGTGTTTCATCATAAATTAAAGACTTACTAGGTATGGGTTGTAGAAATAAGATGACTAAGTCGAGATAAAACCCTTTTTGGATTTTGTCTGTCAAGCGCGAGAGTATAATTGGTCAGATCGGAAGCGATCCATAGTAGAGTCTCGCTGTACGGGCACGTGATATAAGGGTATCCCCTCTATACGGGCAATGGACTGTCAATTATCGATAAAGCACTTTTGATTACGATTGCACGCTAAACTAATGGATGAGCTAACTCATTGATATGGATCCCCATGGAATCATCGCACCGCAGATTTACCCATTGTAGGATAGATATTCTCCTTCCGATATCGATACTTTCCTGACCTTCGCATCTCGCGATTGATACACCCCCCAGTACTTCACCGGTTCCATGCAATGCTCCTATTCCACTCAGTTGTAACTCATTCTCACCACTCCTACCATCTCTCAAGTTATCGTGCGATCATGTGATCAAGTCCACCTCCGTCCATCAGATGACGTGAGGCCGAGAAATTACAAGGTGTTAATTGCGGGAGAGGCTATTATGGACGATAGTGGGAATAGAGGTGATGGATGGGTGAAGGCATAACGTGTTTAAAGGGTGAAATATTGGCAATCTGATCAGTTAGCGGAAAACGAAGTTCAAGGCGGCAACGAGCGAGATAATCTTTCATTCAGTAGACACCTAGATTGGCCGTGCGACAAAATTTTATGGCCGTATCGTCGAATAGCCAGTTCGATTTAGTTCAGCTTGCAAAACAATCAAAAGTGCTTTTATCGTTAATGAAACTTTCATCACAAGTCATGCATCAACAACTCCAGAAGGGTTTGCACTTACTCGAAGTCCTCAGTGGAACAAATTACCAAGAAATGTCATGAACCACAGAAAAGTTAAACAGGAAATATAAAACGAATTCATGAAAATTATAGTGCGACTGCCTAGGAGATTCTATTTGTCTTGGTTGATACACTCCCCCATACCCCGAGCCCCACTTGAACACTAAGAAGCGCTTTCTGCTTACCGCGCGGCGCGCGCAAACCACTACCTACAACGACCTCTTTCCTCTCCAGTTCCTATACAATTTATATTCTGCTCTTTTTGCTTCAATTCCCTGTGTAAAGTGAGTGCGCGCTTGATGTGAGAAGCATATCTGATTTAAGCAATGAAACGAAAACGTTGAGTTGAGTTGAGTTGATTTTTAGATGAAAGGCTTGCTCACTCTTTATTTTACTTAAGTTGAAGACTTGGTGATTTGATGCGCAATTGCGCCAGAGCGCGCAATCAGGCTATGTCAGTGACAACTTCAATTGTCTCAAAGCCTACAAAAATATACTTCAAATTCACTTCCTCCATCAATTCCCTGACTCACCAAAGCCGCGCCTTACCTCACCTCACCTCCCACCCAAAGAACAAAATGGCAAAAAATGGTATACATAGCGATCAAGTTCCTCCGGGGACCCGTGGTCTCACCATAAGGCTGTTACAGTCTCCCCAGCATACCTGTATGAAGGCCCGCAAAGGTCCGTCCTACATTCTCGGACTCGCCAGTGCGTTATGCTTTACCACCAACTCGGCCAGAAGGCCGGTTGGACACATTGTGTTGAAGACCGAAGCGCAAGAGAGTATTTCAAGTGGAAGGTGAGTGATGGGGTGGTGTAGTTGGAGCGTTGATGGTTGTGGCTGGGGATTAATTCATTTTTGACTTGGAGATTTTTTGGGAAGAGATGCGATGAGTGTTGTATTCACTTGTTTTGGACCCACTTTTTGAGATGAAGCACAATTGTTGTTTGTCAGGTGCCTAGTACTGGGCGTGAGTTATTGGGGTATGGAATTTGATTTCTCAGTGTGGTGCGGTCAACGTCGCCGCATTACCAGCCTCGCGACGTCTATATGGCAAATGTGTGAAGAGCCAGTAGATTGTTCAACGAATCCAATGAGGACGAACACTATCGTTCCATCTAATTCACTAAGCTGAGTTGGTATCAATTACATTTTATCCTCAAATATCGCACTACAATTGATGTTGATTACCCAATATGTTCTTCTATTTCAGCCATTTGAGCTGTGAATACTTCCACAGGAAACGATCTTTGATATTGCTTTTAAGTAACAGCCACATTTTCTTTGAATCTTGAAAGCCTTATGATGGTTTTTCTACAACAACGTCTTTTCAACGAATAAATAGAAGGTCTTGACGCAATACTTCGAAATCCAATCAGAATTTTCAAGAGAGCAAAACACAGAGACTTAACACTATTCAATACTGTCGAGCCAACCCCATTTGCTGTGACCAGGTAAAGATGTACATATGTATCCGTGTATTCTTCATCATCATCCATCATGAATGACTACATGTTACACAACCAAACGAGCAGGCGAAAGGGGAAAGCGTCAAGGAACGCCAATCTTACTAAAGACACCAGCTTTGCAAAGGGAGAGAAAAGATTAAGTAGGCATTCATGAATAAGATAAGTGCAATATTGAGTCCTTTGCCTCTCAGAAACGGATTAAATGCGCTCGCATTTCAACTAGCCAGCGCATTTCAGTTTCCTTTCTGGCATGGAATCTTGCTTTATATGATGACGAGTTTGTCAAATTCTCAGAGATCTGACAGCTATAATCTGAAAGCCCCACCTACCAGCTAGATCTCGCATATCCTGATGTGGATGTAACTTGAAGTTTTTTTTTTCGGTTCAATGGAGAAACTTCCCTAGACGTCTTGGCGAGTAGCTAATCTTCCGGCTTCTCGAGACCCACTCAGAAGTCTGGCACCGCAAGTTGATATGTGTGTTGAACAGAGATGAAAGACTTTCTCAGATTTCTCTCCTTGCAAAAAAGAAACTGTCGCAAGGAATATACCCATGAGTGAGACTGGAGCTTTTCTGCAGCATGCGCATTTTAGGTCTTTAAAACACAGACTTAGGATATGATACGAGTCAAAAGGAGGATGACGGATGATGTTTGATATTCCGCTGGTAAAAGGTGTATAGATATGTTCTCTCGAATTTCTAGTTGTCACGACTTCTGGACTTTGGCACGGGAACATGGGTCACTAGAAATATCATTGATATAGAGAAGAATCGGAGAAACGTTGAAAACAACCAAGCAAAAAGTATATCTCCCCCATCCAAACCATCTCCACCACTCCCTTACGAACATACATTTTGACTCCAATCATAATGCATTCTCCACCGATAATCCCTAAAAAGCAACCGCACAAACCGAGATACCCAAAAAACAAGTAATACCATACAAACACCACCAACCACACATCCAACCAAACCCCCAAAAGCACAATCCCAGCCGCGCCTCACAACCGCAGAAATTTATCTCCAAACTCCACATTCAATGCACCCCAGCCGCTCCGCGCCACATAAGCGCAGGCGTCTACCGCAAAGTTCACTGGTTCCATGCATAACACGATAGCCATGTCATTCCAGCGAATCGATCCGGTGTAGGATGACCTCGCTTCAAATCTGACGAGCGGCACAGTCCCAATTTGTAAACTTGGTCCAGGACTGCAGAGTTGCTATTTCTCGGTGCTTCTCAGACGTCGTCCCATGCTATTCTCCACCGTCAAAGAAAGAAATACTTCCTCGCTTTCCAATCCAATCCAATCCATCAAATTCCATACCATGGCAAAAAATTCAATCGACGGCGTAGTTCTCATCACCGGAGTAAGTACCCCTTTCATCTCATCATCTCATCATTACGAACATGAATCACCAATCACCAAGCTAACCCAGCACTCCCCCCCCACAGGCCGGCGGAGGAATCGGCCAATAAGCCGTATACTCCTTTGCCGAAGCAGGAGCCCGCACCATAGTTCTCGCGGACACTAATGAAGAAAATGCCAGGAAAGCTGCTGAAACTGCCAGAAAATAAGTAACGCATCCGGATTTTCGATCTTTAGTTATCGGAGTCGATGTTTCGGATGCAGAGAGTGTGCAGAAGATGATTGATGTTACGGTGAAAGAATCCGGATGCATTGATTATGCTATTGATGGGGCTGGGGTATGAAGTTCTTATTCTCTTTTCTTTTTTTGGTACTTCCTCGATTTGATGCAGTGTGGAAATGAAGAAACCCATACATACATACATACATACATACATACATAACTAACGACATCATACTCCAAGATCGATCATCTCACCAACGAACCATTCGCAGAAGCATCAATCTCAGACTTCGATAAAGTAATGAGTGTCAACACCAAAGGCCCAACGCTCTGTGTGCGCGCCAAAATCAACGCCATGCTCGCACAAAATTACGAGCCGCAGCGGCGAGCGAGATATTGGACGCGGAGTGATTCTCAACGTGGGCTCTGCAAATTCATATGTGGGGTTGCCGGCAAAGATGGCGTGTACGGCGTCCAAACATGCGGTGATGGGACGCACGAAGATGGCTGGTGAGTTGACTTGTTGCGTAGCGATGATATTGGGTACTTCATACTATGCTTCATACTGAAGCCGACTTTCCCTTCTGCACTTGACCACGCTGCAGATGGAATTCGCATCAATGCCGTGTGTCCCACTTGAGTTCGTACTCCTATGGTTGAAGAGGAGTGCAGAAGAAACCCTACTGTGATGCAGATGGTGGAAGCCATAGTACCTTTGAAAAAAATGGCTGAGCCGGAAGAGATCGCCGATGTGATTGTTTTCTTATGTAGCCCTTCTGCAAGTTGTGTAACGGGCACGGGAATTATCGTTGATGCTGGAGTGACTCTGACCGTGCATATACACTGAGTAGCAACTATGGACTTTGGTGCTTTGCGGTGGTCTAAGAAAACCTGTGACTTTTAGTCAATTCCCTCTTTTGACCATCCATGACCATGAACAAGCGAAGTTGCTGAATTGTCAATATGCCAGACCTTTCTTGAGAAAAATGAAAAGAGCCCACAGAACTCCACTGCAAACAAAAAGTACAATGGTCTGATTGCGATGCCACTAAATCATGCCGCCAACAAAAAATGATAGTCACGACCAGGCTTACTAATCCCCTTGTAACCAGACGAGAACCGAGGAAGTCAAGCTCTCACACTCTCAACACAGTACTGAAGACAGCCAAGAGAAACGATGTAGACAGGGCTGTAACGCCCTCGAAACAAAAACTCTATACAAAACATCCAACACCAAATTCCTCAACCATCATCAAAAGCGCCTCCAACAATGTGGCCCTAGACTTCGCACAAATGACCATACATACTAGATGCCACCTTTCTTTACATATTTATATTATTCCCAGACCCAGATCAACCCTACAAAGCTTACATATACCAGCCTTTCCACACCAGTAATACATAGAAGACACTACGATATTGATTGTGCCAATATATGAGAGCATTTTCCCAATTCCGCAAATGGCACGACTAGTGGTTCATGTGTTTATAGTGGAAGCAGAACTTGATAGAAAGGAATTTCACTAGCTCTGGTGGTGCCAACGAAATAAGGACTATCCGTCTGTAGCAAAAGCGCTTTGTGGGATGTGAGAATGTTTGATAGACATAAAATCTGCATCAGAGGAAACGACTTTTTTTTTTTTTTTTTTTTGCTTGATGAGGAAAATACTTTCGATCAGCTGAAAAGGGCACCTTTGTGTATGTATTCGAGTTGTCCCCCATCTCCAGTTCATCGTGTATTGTACACTGGAACTTTCCATGGAGTAAAGAGGCACGTTGAAAGGAATATTGCGAAGAAAAAACACCTGTTGCAAATCTTGATTTTGCTAAAAATTCGGACTTGCGCATGCAAACCCTCCAATGTCGAACAGCAACATTCACAAATTCACAATCATACATCAATATCAAAAGTCAAACAAATTGAGAGAGCAGTAATATAGCATTGATTATTTCTACCATTGCTAGATCCCAACCCTCCTCACGATCTTCTAGCCCGTAGTCCAGTCCATCATGGGTATCATTTATCAATCCTAGATGTTATGTGTAACCATCTATTCATCATCCTCCTCAGCCTCATCACCAACAACGTTGAAGAATCTCAATGAGTAAACGCCCTTGGAGGTGGAAACAACACGGAGCCAATCTCTCAATTGGTTCTTCTTGAGGAACTTCTTGGTCCTGTTATCGCATCGAATTAGCATATATTCTCAACCTGATAGAGACATGAACTAAAGTTTCATGAGAGAAAACTTACAAGTACTTGAGGTAGTGACCAGAGTTAACAGAGGTCTCGATCTTGATGAGGTCTCCCTCCTTGACGATGGTGACCTTGTCGCCCAAGTTGCTCTTCAATCCATCGACCTTGACGTTGTCTTGGAGGAACTTCTCAAAAGCAGCGGTGTCGAAGATCTTGTCTTCGGCAGGTTGCGTGCAGTTGATAGTGAACTTGCGCTTGACGACTGGTCCCTTCTTGTTTCCGGCCTATTTGAGAGAAAATAAGTTAGCCTACTGTATCACGCCATAACTCTGCGGTAGAGCGGGCCAACAGCAAAGCGGTTCTTATTCATGGACGTACTTTGGCAGGCATTTTGATTGATTTCCGTGAGGTCGCAAAGAAATGGTTATCCTACGCCGAGTTGAGAGTTGATGAAGATTGAAGTAGGAGGTTCGAAAATCCGAAATTTTCTGTGTGGGCCGCCAAGAGTTTGAGTCGCTTATCGATTATGTAATGTGAAGCTGACTT